CGAAAAAAAAAAAAACGCTCGACGTCGTGTAGATATATTTCCAATAACCTAACGTCATAAAAGCGGTTCGTGCCGTGTCACGCCTCATTTGGCGTTCGTGAAATAGAAGCGCTTCTCGCAAACCTTGCATGAATTGTAAAAGCTTTACGGAACGACAACAAACCTTATTTTTGCCGATTGTTTGCGAGGCTTGAGCGTGGGTAGATAGTGTCCCTATCGCGTTCGCGCTATGCTTTTTTTTTTTCTAAAACGCATTTATTCGCTTTAAAGAACCAAGTATTTCATGTTTAGAAAAAAAAAACGGGGATATTCGATGGAGGTGAAATAGACGTGAAGTCATTCGCCTTTCTTTTTATTTCCAGGTCGCCGTTTTCAGGGACCATCGGCAAAGAAATGAGGAAATAATTTTTTTCATGATGAGTTGATATTAAAACGGAAGACAGGTACAAGTGAAGAAAGTAATATCTCAACATAATCGAAACTCTAATACACAGTGAGAATAAAATAACCGGTAAGACGATTTTGAGTCGTCTTGATTGCTACTCTATTTCCTTCTTTTCTCGAAGTTTATTAGATTGTTACGTGTTCTAACCTGCTCGCCTGCACACTTTCGCTTCTTGTAATATCTCGAGACGCTCGATCTGAGTCCGAACATTTCTACCAAAACTTAAATCTACGGCCGATCTCTAGAGTCGACAAATGATCGATTCATCAAACATCAAGGTTGCCCATTCTCATTGAGTTGGAAATAAACGTTACAATACCGATATATCTGTTTGCTTCCCTGGAATGCCGTGACGAATATTTGATGTTTGCCGAAGTACGCACTAAATACATATTCCTTGCGATGTTAAAATCAGTTCGTATGAGCGTTCCATGTTCAAAGGGCCACCGACAACCTCAACATCAATATTTTCTTACTGTATCAAAACCTTGCAGTAGCGTGTTATAACAATATTTACAAGTGAGTGAAAGAGCCCATCGAAATTCAGCACCCTCCCCCCAGACAGTGCTGTTGGTCGCATCTCTTCAGAAATGAAGTAGATGCCGGAGGAGGTTTCCACAATTCAGAGGCGCATGTCGCACGCTTCATGTCTGTCCCTACAAACAGTACGGCAGCACTACGCCGGTGGCTTTTAAATATGAAAGATCATATCAGTGACAATGCAGATTCGAAACGTTTCTGCGTTTGCAGCAGTTCTGAACATCAGTGATTACATAACTGCATAACTTTGAACAGGTATTTATACTTGCATGTAAAATGACTCCTAAAAGTTATATTTCTATCCAACTTATTGTCATATCTTGATGTGGTCACCTATCCGCGATTTGAAATAAAAGCTCTTGAGCATAAAGTGGACTGCTACCCGAAAATATGTAATGATACCCGAGGGGCATTTTTCCAAATACTTTAGGTCAAACGAAAAAAAGCATTGCAAATCGGCTCCACTCGGTTTATGCAATGATCGAGTTAGTGTAAGCAGACATCGTTCTTTCCTTTGTTGCTATGGTGATTCGAGTTTTAAAGTGTTACATTATGAAATAAAATATAAAAATATACCTATTCAAATTCATATTTCGAATGCTTTCAATTCTTCATTCATTTGTAAAGAACACTCGCATATTTATCCGAGTAACCAGTTCATTCATTACACAATCTTTTGTCATCTGACCTGTGAAAAAAAAAAAAATACATGCACCAGAGTCACTATTTCTCCTCCGCCTTTGGGGGGTATGGAAAGAATATCCTTGTCCCTAATACTGCAGGATTTCGGGTAATTACTTTGACCGTCAGAACGATAGTACATCATATTCACCGTTGGTGGGAGATCGTCGCCCAAAGGAACTCCGTACACGACTTTCATCACTTCGTCTGGGATCTCTTAATTAGGAACACAGTCAGCCATTGTACGTTCCCTCCCTGACAAGGCGTTTCGGGGAGTGCTCCGCTGATGGCATTGCCTCATCCGTGTCTTCTGGAGACGGGAATAGAGCGGATTGATGCCAAGAATCGGTGTTCCGCACAAAGAGATCTCCGTCTTGTAATAGGAGGACTAGTGTGTATCGGCTACGTCGTTACTCAACTGCAGATCTCTGCCGCAGATTCTTCAAGCCATACCTACATGATAATCTACTTATGAGTGTGCGATGCCTGATGAATTATCTGTCAGTCTGAATGATCCTGAATTGAGGTATGTGTCATCTGTTCTTAGTCTCTATGTTTTATGATATTTGGAGAGTACTCGTTGAGGACATTCCATTAGGGAGATGCCAATAATCCCATATAAACGACCGAGCAAATGAGTAAATTGTTTCCATCACATCAAGGACGTATGCCGGCAGTGACACCACAGCGAAAACATGTTTATATGTTCTTTCGGGTATTTTCAAAATATAAAAAATATATATTTTTTAAAGATTTGTTTTATCAAGTAAGTTTCGATTCCGTCCCACAATTTTTCTATTAAAAATGTACTAGTCACCTTACAAAAAGCCACCTAATGACAAATATTTATCTCGTAAGATCATGAACACTCATGTGTAGTTTTATGGCCACGCTAACTAGAGTGTCTGAAAGCAATACATTTTGTAATTTATTAAACATTTATCAAATTATAAGGCCTCTAACACGCTGTACAACAATAAGATCATGATGTATGCTCATATGTATATATGTCGTTGTACAAGCAATATATATGGTTGCCATATGTGTTTCTTGTTTCTCATGTGTATAGTTTTGTTGTTTGTATGTACCTCACACCTACAGGGGCCTGTTCAAGGCCTGCAGTATGTCTAAATAAATAAATAAAATTGGGATTGGAGTACCTTGCACTTTTAGTTGTCATTTGCTGAAATGTGTAATTTAGAACTGGAAAGGCACCGAAGGCAAAATAATACCCCGAAGCAAGGTTGCTCTATTTATTCAACTAAGGCCGATAGAATGAATGCCGTTTTCCGAAAAACACTGGGTAATGTTTAGGAAAGACCCAAGTGTTTTAGTGGAACCAGAACTGCCATATATATATTTTTTGTATAATATACTCTTTTAACTGTATTCTGTAAATATCTGCTTCAGACAGTCTAGTCCACTACCATAGCTGGTATTAACACAGTGGCAACTAACCATCTTTCCGGCCACCTAAATATATAAAAACGCATAGAGGCTGTTGATTTGTCTAGAAGGTCCCTTGTACAAGCTATATTTTCATTTAGGTTATATAAAACAGTATTTAATGTTTTTAAATTTGCATTTTTTTTTGTCTCCAACTGGTTTGCTTTTCATATAAATATAAAAAGCAAATCAGTTGGAGACAAAAAAAATTGCAACAGAAGCTCATGTCCCTCTTCAATGTATCTCACTTCTTACGCTGGGAGTTAATCATATCTTCCCTGAGGGATCACGATGTGTTCTCTAGCGATATTTGCTCGAAGTTATCGAAGTTTGAAAACGTCTGAGTTTCGTTGAATGCCAGTAACAACAAAATACGACCGTCGCAGTAACTCATGGTCCCGTTAGTTTGTAAGTCAGAAGACATTGTTCCCGTCAGCGGCTTTGCTCTAAAGCAGACCGCTTGGATGCGTTTTGTTCTGCCGTCGCTTCAAAGCTTGTTTTCCGACTTCCTGCAAGAGTCGCTTTCTTTATGTTTTTATGTTCTCGTAAATCGCACAGACCGCGAATCGCTCTACGATATTATTGTCTTTTTTTCTAGGCATATGTCTTCTTTCATCGCATTTCCTTCTTAAGTTCCCTGGTTCTGGGAAGTCTGGGCCCACAACGTCTATTTTTGCCTTAATTTGTTTAAGATTGTCAATGTTCCCAACTTGCACGGCATATACGGGGCGCCCTATGCTTTGTTTCATCTTAAGCCCAGGCGCAGCCCACAGCTAAAGGAACTAATCAAGCAGAGTCACAAGCGCAAGCCACTATGGCCTTTTCTGTTTATGATTAGTGCAGCTTTGATAGAAAACGTACAGAAACCTGACGAACACCATGTTGGTGTGCGTTTGGTGGTCTATGATTGGTCCCTTCAGCTCGTAGCGTCAGCTGCGTCGGGACGAAACGAAACAGTTCCTATCAAAATGGTTTTCATCTGGATGATCATCGCAGAACAGCTGAACGGGTTTGGTCTGTGACGCGTAAGTAATTCTAGTTTGGCGAATACGAGCTTTACATAGTAATTTCGAGTCTGGAAGGAGTAAGCACGCACCTTTATTTTGAAGCCGATCATCCAGGAGCTAGGAAGCGCAATTCTCGCACCGCTCTACCACCATCGTTGAAAGTGTCGAATATTAAATCTGTTTGTCCAATTTCATTTTACACTCTAATGCGTTTTCACATACGGAGCACATGATAAGAATTGACGTCTATCTTCACGAACGAGGTTCCGCCCTCGAACTTCAAGTTGCCCTGTGTGCGCCGTTATATCACCTATATTGTTCACATATCAGTGCATGCAGCTTTCATGTGTAGTGAGGCCACATCCAGAACGCAGCAGTGTTTGCAAATGGGGTTTAGTTTCGCTCCAACAATGTGTTGCTATACACCAGAATAACTTCATGCCATCAATAAGCACCTTTCACAGCGCAATCGGATTTAGTGACAACGTTTCAGTAATATTTGAACAGAAAATAACATAGCTGGGTTATTACTCTAGTGCTGTCGCAATAATTACATGCGCGCGTCGTAAGTCTAAAATTATGAATGAAGCCCCAGAAGTTTATAAAAAAAACAAAAGGCTTACAATCCCGGCAAGGACAAACGACGCCAAAACTTACGTTATATTTCTTTTATCTAATTGTTCACTCTGTACCCGCAACAGGTGTAGCATGTAAACACGCAGCAAAATATGAACTCTGCTCAGCAGAAAACCTTGGCCGGTTGACAGGACTGCAGGGCTCAGCAATGCTCTGCAATTCCAGTTGCACAGGTCAGCGCAAAGCGAACGCTGAATCAGTCTGGAAATCCTTCTCTCATCTCGGAGCATTCTTTCCCGGATTCCTATATAACCCGCCCTACCAAACTTGTCTTCACATTCACTTCGAACGAGTATCTGCCACTAGCACCTTAAAGGTAAGCGGAAGTTGCTATCAATAGTTCTTAACTTCGGTTTATTATTCTAATAAACCCTTCAGGAGAGTGGTATTATGTAATGGGTGGGGTTACAAGACAATCAAGATTGGGTTTTGCAAGCCTTTAAGACTTATATGTCTTCAACCTGAAGTTGCAAGTCTTCGGGCAGATGCGCAGGCGATGGCAACGTTGTAGTGGCAAAGACATGAAATCGCTGCACTACACTTCCCATCAAAATCATCTTCATAAGTGATCGTACTTACCATTCTTAAACATTTCCTTGAAACGTTCTTTTGCTAGGTCTTCGGCCTTTCGTGAACCCAAAAAGTGAAGCCTCGATAAAAAAGTGGCCCTGAGGCTCGACACTGATTGGTTGACAACTGGAGGGAGGGGGAAAGGCCGGCCACCTGAGTAAAGAAATGTTTTCGTCAGGCGGGATTCAAACTAGAGCCAAATTATTAAGCGAGTGTATTTCAAGGAAGTCACGACACATCGCCGTGAGTTGAGGTGATATTTGGCAGGAAATTCCTGCGGATCATACGCTCTACGTCCGGTATCCAAAATTCTCGACTGTTAACACCCTCTCACACGTTTTTAACATCAGGGCAAGAGCCTGCATCCCAAGTCTAGGAGATGCTATGGAATATAGTTGCCACGCGTTACGCCAGTAGCTAAACTAACCGACGAACGGCGCCGGTAGCATATAGACGCTACACGTTTCACGTGCAAGAGAATTTCCTATGCATTTTATACACACTCCTTGTTAACAATCTGAGTTTCTTCTATGTATGGTGAAATACAGTAAAGCTGCCAAAACGATATAAAGTAAAAACGTATACATTTGGAGCCCTCTACTAATTGAAAAAAAATTAATTGTTTAGTTTATATATTTATTTGCTTCTAACACACGAATGACTGTTTTGTCTGAAGACATTAAAATGTTAGGTAGATCATCGGCTAATTTAACAGAGTTAGAAACGAACAACGCAAAACGTTTAAGTGTGTTGTAGCGGCGACACAATCTTCGTAACCACGCGGTCACGCCGCGTGGATTGCGAGCGAAGGTTGATCAGTTGACAACCGTCGCTCGTTTTACCACCTCATTTTCAGGAGTGAATTTGCATTTTTCCGGAAGCTAGACCCCATCGCCTCACAATGAAGGTCGTTGGAATTGCTCTTGTTGTCGTGCTCATCTCAGGTAAAACCACTTTTTGAATATCCTCCCCTTTCCTGTTTCAGCTTACAAAGGTTTTTCTTTTTTCAGGCCTTATCAGCTTTTCGTGCTCTCAAGAACACGATAGTCAAGGACCTCACGTCAGAGTTCGTGAGTTTGCGTTTAATATATCGCACAATATACACAAATTTGGACGATCTCCTGGCAAACTCATATCAAAAGAATCCTGAACGTTTTGATTATTAAGCACTGTGACTGATATACCATAAGCGGCTTGCAAGCAAGGAATTGATATTTGGCCCAAGGTACGATGATCTCAATGTCATAGATTCCTGGCGCTTGTGCATACCTTAGATTTTTTGCTCTTAAATTGCCAACATAATACAATTCATAACAGATAAATTCAATACGAATTGTTTACCTGACGAAGAAGTTTAAAAGCACTGTCACTGTGCAAAAATAAAGTGGCCACAATTCTGTTTCGAAATGACACATTCATGGAACTTCAAGCTAACAACGCGATTGGGGCCCGGCAATTGATTTTTATACTAAAATGTTTTAGCGTTTCGCGATTCGCTTTGTTATGTGTTTCGGGGCCAGTATTGCTACTTTGGCGGCTTTAGTTGAAATAAACTTTCAAAAATTGAGAAGTGAATGTAAGGGCGCAAACGAAGTGGTTTAAATTGAACATGCACTCAACCGCTGGGAAATCGAAGCCAACACCAAAATGTCTCAAGGCCCTGCAGTGATTCAGTCGCGTTTACCTGCAGTCTCAGGGTCTATGCCATGTTTTCGTATCTGGCACCAAGAACAAATATCTAATATACGCAAAACGCAGGATGAGTGAACTTTTTCAATCCCTGCAGGTCGCGGGTTCGGGTGTCCATTCAACCAAGGAGCCTGCCACGGTCACTGCAGAAGCATCAGACGCCGGGGCGGATACTGCTCAGGATTCGCCAAGCAAACTTGCACCTGCTACCGGAAATAATGCAAAGCGATGGCAAGCGCTGATAGTTCCTCTAATGTCAACATGTGAATACGGTTCGGACAGACTTCCTAGTCGCCGCATAATATTTTTAAACCGGTCTGAATCGGAACAACGGCCGCAACAATTTATTCAATGTAATATAATTTGCCGTAATAAATAAACCTGCAAATACAAAGTGTGCTTCCAATTCTGGAATAAAGTAAAAGCGTTCAGGTGCTTTCACTTCATGGATTAATCATTTTCATTTCGTAAGTGAAAAGGTTGAAGAAAAATGGGGATTTTAGTAGTTTTAGACGCATTTATAAGAAGTATGTTGGCCTTGTCTTGTAGGCCCTTATACTGTTAATGTATCTGAAAATACCTTAAATTTATCATACCCATGCCCCCCCTCCCCCCTGGCACGTAGCCAGGGGCGGGAGAGGGCATACGGCCCCACTCCCCCTCTCCCCCCCAAAAAAAAATCTACCATTTTGCTGGGACCTACTCTCCCCCCCCCCCCCTTCTCATACAGCATTTTGTCATGTGCGGGCGCCACCCCCCCCCCCCCCCCCCCCCCCCCGAAACAAAATCCTGGATACGTGCCTGCTGAGGATGCAAGTGAGAGTAAAAAAATTCACACGAACCTCAAATGTTTCAGGTTGGCTCTCTTTGTAAATGGTCGTTTCGTGATCTTAATCGTTATCAATACAGCTCTTAACACGTTTTTGGTGTATTTATTTCTTCGAGGACAATCTATCCGCTCTATATGATCAGACTTCCTCAACTTTTAACACACTGCGTGGAAAACTGCCGCAACCTCCATCGCTGGCGCTGACTGGTCATTGCCCTTTCTTGTTTTTTTAGTTTTAAGGTATTTCTCAGCTGCCGGAAGTTTACAGGGAACACTGCAAACAATATCCAGGCAGATTCAATCAACTTTTATTGAAATCATTTATACCGGCCGAAAGAAAAATTAATTTTGTACTTGAATGTAGTGATTATATTTGCTCGTCTGCTTTCGGGGCAATACTCAATTTTGTCACCGATTGAAAACGAAAAGAAGAGAATGGTGGTAGGTCTTAATAAAAATTTACCGACGCCCATAAAGAGAAACAATAAATGGTGAGGCCCCTCTTTGCAAACGTTATGAACTAGCAAATAATAACTTTTGCTTCTCCATCGCCGTACTCGAAGTATATGGCACAATAAGTACTACATCGACAATGACGACCTGTTGTAGCGGGGCTCGTACCATACTCCGTTCACTCCTAATGTTACAGTGAGGTGGAAGAGTTTTGAGCGATGGGTCAGTGATATATCTATTATCGCCCTGTGATGTCAATTTCGCCTCATACCTATGCACGGACAGCGGGACCAGGTGATGAAAGGGAGGTGACTAATTGGTCCGGCGAGCGCGTAGTTCCTACCACATGTGTCAGTTGAGTGTTGAAAGGCGTATTAGAAAGCGCATCAAAAGGAAAGCACCGCAGTCGCCCAACTGAAACCCGAAAACATATTCTAAAGGTGCTGCATCTTGTTTATTTCTTGGCACGTATACAGCCATTATTACTCCTTTATGATGTCTGAGTAATACATTTTTTCTTTACCCTTGAGTGTCTATTATCGAAAACAAATTAGATTTCAAAAGCGATAAATATGCAGCATTACAACAGGCAGGGTTGTAAAAGTTACTTGAAAATTACCTAACATACAGTTACCATTACTCACACGAAAGTGCACTTAGGTACGTACCTAAGTACTCGCTTCAAAATTAACCTAAGTAGCGGCACATTTACTTCAAAGACACTTCACTTAATTTTCTCTAATTTGGTCGTAGTATATTGGAAGTAAAACTTTTTATACGAAGGATACGTACAAAAACGAGTATGCTAAATGTGCTTTATAGGTGTCAATGCGATGTCCATATCGTAGTTAAGCCCTCACGTGCCTTATCCCCACGATCCAATAGGTCCACAGCTTCCACTGTTTACCGTGTCACGCCGAAACCACCGAAACTCGATTGTTGACGTTCTTGCCCTCAGAGTCGGTGCTGACGACGGCGGGCCCAGAAGACGCCAGCCGCATGAAGAAGCGCATGAATCGAGTGCATATATGCACCTAACCTTCGAGACAACGAGCGAATGGCTTCAAGCTTCCTCGTTGTTGCTTTCTTTTGCCAGTCCGAAAAAAAAAAAAAAACCTCTTTGTTGTCTTTCGGAACTTTTTTAGCTCTTGATAACTGCGAAATTTGAGTTCGATTTATTGAGTGGAGACTGTATTATAAAGCCGATTCTACATAGCGTTACCATGGTAATTATAATTTATTTTAAATTATAATTTATATTGTATTTATGGCAGAAGAAAGCCACCACCAGAACAAGATACAGTCAACAGAAACAGAGTACATCTTTCAAGTTATCTCCTCTCTTGCATAGCTTTCGGAGGAGCTTGAAACATGCAATGAAGTCGATTTTGGTTTGAGATGAGAGAATCAAGTCGCTATTTTCCCCAAACGGAGTTTCGAGGCGACTCGATAAATTGGTTTCGCTAGAACGGTATCTCGAATCCACCGTTCGCTCAAATGAACAGCGCCATTCGCTAAAGTGTAGCTCGAGGAAACATCATGGACGGTGCTTCGTTCGCTAAAACGTATTTCGATCAAGTTGGTGCCTCCCAGTTCGTACCCAACTCAACGTTAATCACGGCACATGGTGGTGTGTTAACACTTCAAGATTTATAGTTTCTACCATTTTGAAGAAGTGAATAGAAAAGTACTTGTAAAAAGTAACTTCCATTTGTTACTAAGTGAAGTTACTTTCACTAGAAATTTACCTAAGTTCACCTTAATATTACTCGGCGGCAATATGAAGGTGAACACCCTACCTGGTTTCTTGCCTGTTTTACGGCTCCCTAATGCTATATTAACTCTTAACGTCTCAAATGGTACGTTGCTTAGGGTGTAAATTTGCGTTCTAGCCCTCTTCTGGAACAGAGCTTGTTCCAAAACTTACAGGAGCGTCAAAAACAAGAAGTGGGCTGTTCACCTTCAAATCGCTCATGGGCATACCTAAGATACAGATACAGATACCGAGAAATGAAAGTATTTAGGTCTGTAGCTCTGGTACAACAAAAGTACCTGGACACCTAATTCCTGTTACATGTACCGTTGTACTTTAAAGCCCTGATAACAGGCAACAAATTGTCGAGGGGCATGAAATAGAGAACGTAACCTTTGTAGGAAAGCAGGAAACCTCAACGGTGACCTCATTCCACGTCCGACTGTGGTGCGATGGAGTTATTTCTGCATCTAGACTCTCCGCTTTCCTCAGACAAAACCTGTCTGCGTCGGTGGTATAGTGGTAAGCATAGCTGCCTTCCAAGCAGTTGACCCGGGTTCGATTCCCGGCCGACGCATAAAATATTTTGTTTTTCTTTGCTCTTTGTGTAAATGTTTTGTCGTTCTGTCTGTACTGCATTTGAAGTCGCAGCAACGTGTTTTTTAGGCTTAATTTAGCCTTGAATTATTTACCAATCCATGGGGTTATTTAAAGGCAAAAATGTTTCGACCAAAAGATATCAGTTAGACTCTTGCTAAGTCCAAAGTGATTGAGGAATTTATTTTCACTGACCGTCTAAACTTGGTTCAAAGCATTAGCGTAAAGGCTCTAGCAACATTGCCTCCAGCCAAATTACCCATGTGCCAGGTTGAATGCTGGGAATATGTTTACATACGCTGCCCACACTCGCCTAATCTGTTTGAGGGGTTCCAAGTAAATAATTCATATAAGGCGTTAAAAAACGCACGTGCAAATTGTCATTTCCTCTAGGATCAGTGAGTGCTGCACAGTTTAGCACGTGCTGCACGTGAAGCTACACACTAGCTGCATCTTCCCTGGTGCATGGGTCATTTAGAAAAGAAAAGCCGCTTACAACTCCCTGTAACGCCGAATTAGAGCGCAGCTCTTGAGGAGGAGGAGGGAAGGGCACTGGGGGGAGGGGGGTTAAACTAACCAGGGTGGAGGTCACGTGACCTTCGGGGTCACGTGACCCCCAATGCCGATGATGTCATCACTGACGTCACTGATGACGTCATCAGTGACTATGACGATGCGGGTACCGATGACGTCATTAGTGACGTCACTGATGACTTCACCAGTGATGATGACGATGACAATGCGAATGTCGGTGACGTCATCAGTGACGTCGCTGATGACGTCATCAGTGATGATGACGATGACGATGCGGATGCCGGTCATGACATCAGTGACGTCACTGATGACGTCATCAGTGACGATGACGATGACGATGCGGATGTCGGTAACGTCATCAGTGATGATGACGATGACGATGCGGATGCCGGTGACGTCATCAGTGATGATGACGATGACGATGTGGATGCCGGTGACGTCAGCAGTGATGATGACGATGACGATGTGGATGCCGGTGACGTCATCAGTGATGATGACGATGACGATGTGGATGCCGGTGACGTCATCAGTGATGATGACGATGACGATGTGGATGTCGGTGACGTCATCAGTGATAATGACGATGACGATGCGGATGCCGGTGACGTCATCAGTGATGATGACAATGACGATGTGGATGCCGGTGACGTCATCAGTTCTGATGACGATGACGATGTGGATGCCGGTGACGTCATCAGTGATGATGACGATGACGATGTGGATGCCGGTGACGTCATCAGTGATGATGACGATGACGATGCGGATGCCGGTGACGTCATCAGTGATGATGACGATGACGATGTCGATGCCGGTGACGTCATCAGTGATGATGACGATGACGATGTGGATGCCGGTGACGTCATCAGTGACGATGACGTCATCGGGGGGTCACGCGACATCGGCGGGGGTCACGTGACCTCGAGGAGGGGGTCACGTAACCTCAGGGGAGTCACGTGACCGGGGGTCACGTGACCTCGGGGGGTCACGTGACCTCCCACGAAGTCACGTGACCCCGGTGGGGGACTCGCGCGGTGCATTATGGGACATTTCCCATGATGTACCGCGCGGTTACGCCGACGGCGACGCCGACGGCGACGGCGACATCGACGCCGCTCAAGCCGAGAACGGTCCCCTAAGAGCTGCGCTCTAAAAAAAGAAAGGTGCTCTTAAGGGGACATAACTCCAAAACCAAACGGAACG